AAGTAAGCGGTGGTTGAACCTGAACAAGAAGTAAAACAGCTCCCTTTGTTTTGTGTCGCACATTGCCCCCTTGCATTCTTCCAAGGACATTTTCACGTTACATTTTTGTGAAAGTTGTATTTACTGCAGCCAGCCCTAGGATCTAAAATGTTTACCATCTGAATGGGCCAGCAAAACATAAGAGCTAGAAGTAGTATGCGTTTTCTCAATTTGCATTTCTTAATTTTTTTTTTCCTTCTCTCTCTCTCTTCTCTCCATACCCCTCACCCCCCCCAACATCCCATTCCAGTTGTTGATGGTTGTTTCTGTGATTCTGGAAAGGAACCCCGAATTAGAGTTTCAGGATAAAGTGGACTTGGACAAACTGGTGAAAGAATCGTTTAATCAGTTCCAGAAAGATCAGAATCAATTCAAAGGCATTGAAAAACAAGTCAGTATAATCCTTATTCCCTGAGTTCACCCTTTTCATTATCTCTTACCGGTTTATCTTTCTGGGTTGACCCAAAACAAAAATGTTGCTTTGATTTTTTTTTTTTTTTTTAAAAGTCAGTATTGTGAAGCCTTCCATGTTTTCTTCCAGAGAACAGAAAAAAATTAGCTAAAATTCCAAACGCCATCACTTATCTACCTGATTACTCAGGTAATTTCATGGGAATTTGATTTCTCTCTCTCTCGCTGTACAAGGAGCTCAGATGTTAAGGAATGACAGGCCCTTATTGGGAAGATCAGGGAAGAAACACGTTGTTCCTTGTTCTCAATTCCAGATTTCTGCGTAGCTCCCGATCACTGAATTGTTCTCCCTATTCCTTTTTTGTAGAGGGCCTGGCAAAATTCATCCAGAGAGCAACGTTTGGCCTTTTTATGTCGCAACAAAGAAAAAAAAAAAGGGGGGGGGCAAGCATTGCCAAATTGCCAAAGAGGTCCCCGGTTTAAGAATCTCAGATTGACACTACCACTCAGCCCGAAGTCATCCCAAACCTTCCAAAGAACAATTTTGTGTTGCCACAAAAATCCCCCTTCCAATTACCCAAAGCCTTCTAAGACAACCAGTGTCTCAGTTGCAAAAGTCCTCGCTGTACAGTTTCTCATAAATATATCCCACTGCGTGATAGCTACCCAATTGCACACAGCTCAAAGGTCAGGTCATTCCGGTGTTGTTTTCCCGCAGATCTGTATCCTAAAATGACAGGGAGCTCTTTCTCACTCCTGTGTGCAAAATGGAGCTGCGTCTGAGTGAGCTCTATGTACACTGGAGGAAAAAGCTCTGATGGGGCTGTGTAGTCCAGGGATCCATGTTTAAAACGTGTAAAGTAACCCAAAGTTTCTTGACATTGGCATTAGATTACACGAGCACCTCCTGTCTTGCAAAACTGTTCTTTTTTCTTTATTCTTCGTTCCCACTTTTCGCCTTTCCTGATGCTGTTTGTTTGCCCTGCTTGTCAGCATCTTCTACCTCCGCTTGCCTGCTCTTTCCTTCCTCCCTTTTTTCCTCGGCTGCAAGTCTTTCCTCTCCTCCCCTCCAGCATAGGAAAGCTCTTCCCTACCATCAGTACTCCAGAAAGCCAAGGGTGGTCCAGCCCGCTCAGGGGGGGGAGGGCGTGTTGTCATTCTAGCAGGTGCGGCCACAATGGCATTTGCCCTTGCGGTGGGACAATTGCTCTGCACCAAACACAAATTGCACTTGACAAGCTCTCCCCAACACCAGCGACAGCATGACTCACTGGTGGCCTAGAGGATGATGAATTGCTGCCTTGCCAGCATAAAGCTGCTCTTTACAGCAACATAAAATCTCTGACTCATTGTGTTTGGGACCATCATTTTCCCTGAATTCATCACAGATCTTTCCAGAAATGCCTGCAGGTATTTTTGTTTCTGTTTCTGTTCTACGTCGGTTGCTCTCGTGACACATCTTCCTTCCTGAGTTTCTCAGGGCGCCCCGTATTTCCTCCCCCCCCCTGCCTCTCCCATCCTCTTTGGTCAAAATCTAAAATATATATTTTTTGTATATTTGAGATGGAAAACTTGTCCTGTTGATCACCCACCCATCTGTGTGCTTCTCCTCCTCCTTACTTAAGCCTGAAAGTATCCATCCACCTTATGACTCTTGTCTGTTTGTGCAGGATGACATGACTTCCTTTTACAACACA